GGTTTCAAATGGAATAGACATGATTAGGTTGCAAGTAAATCGTTCATCTTCAGATTCTAGAACCTACAAGGGTTGGTTTTGATTGCTTTGGGAAGATTGGAGTATCCCCGGGTTTGTGGTCATGGTGCTCAGGTAGTCTGGTATGTCAAGGATGGTGATGCATGTCTTCGAGGACGAAGTCTAGTTTAAGTGGGGGAGAGTTGTAACACCCTGTTTGAAATTACTCGGTTGGGGCCTCGGAAACCAAAGGGTAGGGGTGATTAAGTCTTTTATGGGTCCCAAGATTTATCTGAAAGGTTTTAGGCTTGGAGGTGTTAACGGGAGAGTAGGGCTTCCCACCACCTTTTCATGGATATAAAGTTCGTCAGAAACGGACTTGGAATAAAGAATATGCCAGTACCACCACCACCACCTTTTCATTGGTTATGTTTGTGTGTTTGGATCATATCTGTGAGTGTACTCGTGGGTTTGCACGACTGGAAATCAAAAGAATCCGCCACCACCACATCCACTACCACCACCGCGAGGTGGTGGCTGCCATCCACTATTGTTTTCTGCCACCCTCCGCCACCACCAGCCACCATGGGTGGTGCCTTTGGGCATGGTTATGGGTGTATGCTTTAGTGTTTTCAATGTTTCCAGCATTTTGGAGATTGTATGCGTCTTTTTGTGGCCAGAAAACCCACCACCACCACTGTGAGGTGGTGGCCGCCGCTGACCACCACTACCTAAGGTGGTAGTGGGTGGTGCTTGGCATAGTGAACCCTAATCTGCCTAATTGATTGATCTGGGCTTGTTGGATGGTTATTGGGTTAGAAACCCTAACTAGGGTTTAGAAAACCCTAATTTTGGGTTTGTTGGTTTGGGCCTATTGGGACCTGTGTTTGGACTAGTGGACTGATGTTATAATTCATGCCAATTCAGTTGTATGATGGCTTAGTGGAGTAATGGACTTAATGGGATAAGTCCTTAATGGGTTAAGTGAGAATACTTAACCCTAATCATCATTTCATGTGAAAACCCTAATTTTGCATGGGCCTAAGTTGGGCCTTTCTATTGGGCTTTGATGACTGGGCTATGGATGGGTTATTCAAGACCAATTTTGTGTACTAGAATATGTGGATGGGCTCTAAGGCAAGGTGTAACGGAGGGATTAGGCCCAATTTGGAAAATTGGGCCATAGTTGGGCCATTAGTCTAATTTTGTGGATTTGTGTGATATTGGGGCCTTGGTAGGCCCAATTGGCTTGGGTTATTTATGGGCTGGGTTGGTGGACCATATGTAGACCTAATATGTGAAGGTATGGTCTTAGATCCTAATGATGTTAATTGTGGGTTTGGCTTAGTGTTAGAGACCGAAGTCCAGAGTACAGCAACAACATTTGTAGGATCTGTCCGCCATCCGAGGTGAGTCTTCTCACTATGCTTACCTATGTGGTGATTTTTGTGTGACCAAAGAGTCTTATTCGTGTTATTGACCGGAGGGTATTATCTACACTATTGATCGGAGGTTCTTAGTACATTATCGACCGGAGGGTCTTATTTGTTTACAATGTATTACGTGTTGTTGTGAATAATGTCTTTGTGACTTATGTTGTTATGGTAATCTGTGTATATATTGTTGTTATGTTTTTTTTTTGAGTTATGCATTAGTCTTGTGATATATATGCTATATTATGTGATACTGAGACCGGACCGAAGGGTCTAATGAGTTGTGAGACCGGAGGGTTCTCACTAAGATCGAACGAGGGGGTCCTGTTGGATTAATGTCTAAGTCCATAATTATATTTGGTATGTACTTGACCCGACCCGGCATGGTCCATTTGGGTTGCACTTCACCAACACAATTTATATGGATAGTATTTTGAGAATAGTATATTTATGATTAATATTAATATATTATAAGTTCTAATATATTAATATGGAATCATATTATTTAATTAGTATTGATCAAGAATTAATTTAGAATTAATTAAGTGATCAAAATGAACTAATTAAATATGGAATCTTATATATATGGAATGGGCCAAGTTCATTTAGGTTGGGCTAAGCTTTCATGGATAGTCCATGGAGTGTTTAACCCATGGATCATATGAAGTTAAAGGTCATGGGTTTAATCCTAGTCTCCATGCTATATAAAGATGTCATTGGTTGGTGAAATTGGGACTAGTGTGGTACACTAAGAAGGGCTAGCCGATTTCACTAGAGAGAACCAAGTATCCATATTCTATAAAGTCTTCCAAGGTGTTTTGGTGATTTGTGATTCCACTTGAGGCTTCCACACTATTGGGGCTAAGCTCTTAAAGCTTGAAGACATCAAGCTACATCAAAAGGTATGTCATCTAACTAGTACTTTGTAGTACAAGAACTTCATAATATGCTAGTTAGGATTAAAGCCTTGGAAAGTTCTTATTTGCATGTATAATAGAGAACACATAGATCCAAGGTTTATAGGGTTGCATGTACACCATAGGAATGTTAGAATGCTCAAAACCTAACAGGTCCAACGAGCCTTGGGAATAGAGCATCCCACAGAGACACATTGACTGGAGGGTCTTACAGAGTTATAGCCCCGAGTGGCTAATGGGTTGTATGTGGTATTTTGGGGAAGTCACTAAGCTTTGTGCTTACTGTGTTGTGTGTTATGTGTTTCAGGTACTTCTTAGGATCACGAGAAGGCCCCCGACTAGATTGTACACACGAGATGGACTTGTGTTCAAGGATCCTGTATTTTATTCAAATAATTATGAACACGTGTTTTTGATAATTGATATATTGAGATTTTTTGAGATGTGTTGATGATACTTATGTGATTTTAAAAGTGAAATTTTTTGGTGAAATTTCACGGTGGTACAACGTACATGCAAGTACACTCCGCGTACACCACTTCCAGTCAGTACGCTTAGCGTACGTAAGAGTACCCCCTGCCTACTCATCAATTTTGGGCTTGTAGTGTTTTGGGCCTTGGGTTGGGCCAAGCAATGCACTTTGGTTCTCTGGGCTTCTGTGGGCCATCAGGAGTCAGATATTTTGGGCCAGGAATATATTTCGGCTTAGGGTAAGACCCATTAAAGGTATTGGGCCGAAGTAAGCAAGTTAGGCCATTAATGGGCCACTAGTGGGCTTGGATCATACTAGAACAGGGTTAGATTGGTCATTTTACCTCATGCATGGATTAAGGATTATGGTTTGGGACCAAATTGCTAATTGGGTATATTTTTTGGTAAAGGCATCTCGAGAAGTTGGCGAGGCAGCAACAAATGAATTCGTATGGGAAGCTTCGACAATGCAAGGTAAGTTTTCTCACCATACCAATGGGTCTAAGGCACCAAGTTTAGCCCATTTTATGATAGTTGGTATACTTGCTATGTAGAGGTGTGTGATATGTATGTATGCATTATATGCGGTAAAGATAGCCTTTGTGGCTAATGGTAGAGATAGCCTTATGGCTGATGCTAGAGATAGCCTTTGAGGCTGATGGTAGAGATAGCCTTTGTGGCTAACGGTAGAGATAGCCTTTGAAGCTAACGGTAGAGCTAGTCTTTGGGGATAGGGGTAGAGATAGCCTTTGTAGCTAACGGTATAGATAGCTCGATAGCTAATTGATATGTGATATGTGGTAGAGGTAGCCTTTGTAGCTAATTGTTCTGTATTATGTGTTAAAGGTAGCTGTTATAGCTAATTGATATGTGGTATGCATTAGAGATGGCTTTTATTGCTGATATGATGTGTTATGTAGATTGTGTGTGGGGTATGCTCTGGGGGACTCACTAAGCATCGTGCTTATATGGTTTCAGGTATCATCGTTTTGGAAATGAAGGGCTCGGATTGGTCGCAGTGCACACACCTATGATTTTCGCAATGATTGATTTTGGGATGAAGTCTGATAAATGTTTTACTTAATGACAATTTGAATTGTTAGAGGAAATAGTATCAATGTTTTAGCTATATTAAAAATGATTTTTTTACCTTTGATTTTTGGGTCGTTACATACGACGTGCAATGCATGTCGTAAAATGCTCAGACGATGCGCAAATTCATGTCAATGAAGGCCCTGTCATAACGAGAGACGACGTGCATTTACGACGTACATTCATGATGTGCATTTATGACACACATTTACGACGCTCATTTACGACGTGCAATGCATATCAAGGAAGGCCTTGTCATAAAGGATGGCGACACACATTTGTGTGTCGTAACCTTACGACATGCGTGTTTATGACACGCAATGCGTATCAACGAAGCCCATGTCATAAAGGATGAAAACATGCATTTTTGTGTGTCATAATTTTAAATGTTTTTAAAATTATATATTTTTGGTAGATTTACTAATTTTCAATTTAAATAACACATTAAAAGTCTTATAATACAAAATAAAATACCATAAACAATAAATATAATTCCTTGCACTAATATGTCAAATACAAATAATCATTCCAATAGTAAGTAAATGTAACACATTGCTAATATTGCATAATATTTATTATAGAAAAGAAAACATGTACAACATTAAAAGAAACCTATGACTAAATTCTCCTTTGACAATTTCCTTTCTAAAAGAATAAGCTGATGCAAGAACATTGAGAGGCTTCAGGGCATGGATGGAGGTTGCTAGAGCTATCAGAACCTGCACATGGCAAATCGGTAACTTAACATGCAATACAATAAAGAAATACGTTTAAAAATTTTCTATTGATTTGAACACCTACATGATCAGAATATTTTGAACACTTACAAATTTCCATTTCTTTCTATTACAACATTATACTTTTATTTTTTTCAGTATTATTGATGCATCATATGATAAAAAAATCTACCCAATTCCAACGTTATACTTCCAATCTTTTTCTTCTTACCACATCATACTTTCAATGATCAACCCAATTATAACAACAAAATTGCTATAATAACTTACTAGATTTTTCTTAGACTTATCCCTTTATTTGGAATGACACTCACAAAACAAAACAATCTCTTTATCAATTAAGCTTTTTTATACTCGATTTTGGCAGAAATGAAAATGTCAAAGCAAAAGAAACACTCGACATATCATCAACATGCAAATGAAAAAGAAAAACAGGCAACACAAACATGTGCATCAATTCAAATGCATACATATCAGATCATTCATAGTTGCTTGGAGGCTTCTCCTTTCGATGCTTAGAGCTGTAATGATCAACAAGCTGCTTCTCATTTGCTAACTGCACCTGAAAAGTCAAAACTCCAATGCATTTTCCATTAACTATCTTATACATTTACAAGTTATTGATGTTTATAACTTATATTACAAGTAGTCGTCAAACAAGAAAGTCATTTTTTTCATTAGATACTAATTCCGGAAAAAATGGTAAAATGGTTTTAACTATCATTCAGAACTAAATGGAACTTAAATAAGCAATACATCTATGTGTATCATCTAATTTGTCTCAAGCTTCTGCCATAAAATTACTGCTGTTCATATAGTTATAATATCACTTCCAATTATCTAAATGCAATAAATTCATAGAATATATCATCTTGTCTAATCACCCAAATGAAACTTAGATCAAATTCAAACAGAAATGAAGCCAAATACACCTAAAACAAGCACTCAATCTAGTAGTTCTAAATCAAAACCAAATTCAATAAGTACATTAAATTTAAACAAGCAAACCTACACATTATAAGTCTATATTGACTTACTATTTCTTCTAATTCTTCCAAAGAAAACTCATATCAGAATTTAAAAAAAAATTCAATAAGTATATAATTTTTTTTTAAAAAAAGCAACACGTACACACTATATCAACATGCGTAAGAGTGTATCTTCCAATTACTTATTTCTTCTACAACACTGAAAATACGGCTTGCTCATGAAGAGAATATTGTATTTTCTAATCATACAAACAAAACAAAAATTAAAGTTCAACCAATTGTTTAATTTAAAGCCCAATAGAACTAAAACAAGCAAACAATCTTCTGAATTCCTTCCTCTCTCAGCTAAAACATCAAAATAACCATTGTTCATATATAATAAATAATTTCTTCTAGTCATATAAGTGAAATCTAGATAAGAATTCAAATAAACAATCAGCTTTATCAAACCTAAACAATCATATAAATCACACAAAGAGGAACTTACTTTACATATAGGGCATGTAATTTTGAGAGCAACGGCACGTGCTTCAAATTGAGATCCTTTTGATTTCTGGTTCTTCTCTACAATTTTCTTCTGCAATAGTCTTCATAGGCCTCTAAAGAAGTGAGTTGATAAAAGGTATATATGAGTGGAGTTAGAAGCTGTTAGAAAGATTAAAGATTTGTTGTGTAATAAGTGTAACAACTTTCAAATCATCAACAAGAGAAATCAAATATTACAAACATGAATACCATCAAAGATGTTCCCCAAGATTCTAGGAACCAACCCCACTGATAGAGGCTGTAGGTAAGTTTAATTGATTTCTAGATTATCAACATCTTAAAGTAAGTTACAATATGCAATAAATACCTTGCATGTCTGTAAAACAAGATCATTCACAATCAATCCAGCTGTCTCTTCATACACTGAAATATAATGGGCACTTTATTCTCAATATTTAGAAACTTAAAGATCCTTTATGCTATGTATGCATGTGTGTTTGTGTGTATGTGTGAGTGTGAGAGAGAGAGAGAAAGAGAGAGAGAGAGAGGGAGGGAGGTAGAGAGAGAGAAGACCAAAATACCTTGGATTGTAGCAGAATCTCCTTCCAAACGAATAATCTATCTAATAAAACTGGCACATCCAACACGGACAAGTTCATACGTAGCAACACCATCCATTCCATCTGCAATGACAACTGGTCCTGATACTTGTCATGTTGCAACCTGCTTAAGATTATGATTATCAGATACTTGTCAAAGCACATGACATGGAAAATCTTTGCTCATGGTAATAGCATTGTTTTTGACGTAAGAAGCACTGTGCATAAAGAACATAACCATGCCCATTCCTCGTTTCATACTCTTACAAAAATCAGATATGCCAAGGAAAACACAGGCAACTTGATACGTCAAAGTGGATGAATAGGGTATCATTAATAAGGACATAAATAAGATTAGAACAAATTAACTAGAATCATAAACACCAAATCTGTTACTCTAAGAATTCATTTTACCTGTATAATAATAATAATAGTTTCAACATATAATATTTAGAATGAGTAATTGAAAAAAATAATATACCTTGGATAGAGCTTGACTGATAATAGTTTTCCCACAGCCAAAGGCACCAGGAATGGTACATGTGCCACCAAGAACTGAAGGGAAAAGGGCATCAAGGACACGCTGACATAAAATAAATAAAAATATAAATTACAAAAACATGCAACCAGGGGTATCAGAAGCTAGCTTGGAAGCAACAGTCCTTGGAGTACGCACAGGCCAAGTCTACAAATAAAAGGTGCATCAAGTATAAAAAAGAACAGGGCAACTGATATTAACAAGAAGAACTTTGATCATTAGAAAAAAAGGAAAAGAAAAATAAAGAAGGAAGAAATGGAATGGAATGACTCACTCGATTCCATTCCATTGTATATCCCATGTATGTATTAGGATTGTTTTCATAATTAGGGTTCATTTGAGATTCCAGAAGTAAGGATTTTGCATCTTAAATGACATTATCAACTGTAAAGGTACCAAAATCCACACAAGCAAACAAAGGGACATGCATCAAATTCATCTATATGCTAGTAATAGTCAACCAAGGAATCGCTTGGCCAATCAACAACAAAAAAAAAATCTTAATAAATATTTTACTTGGCTTTCACTTTCATAAAACGAAAAGTATATATTGGGTTTGATGCTATAATTTGAGAGGGATAATGGTAAAAGCTTACATTTTTTGATGATTAAAAGAATATTAATCCCATTTATGAAAGAAGATCTGCAACAGATATATTGAGACCCTTTTGTCTTTTGAGAGGATCCATTGATCCATTGGCTTTTATGATTTATGCCAATCTCAATATATTTATGCATCATATAATAGAGTGGAGAAAGATCAGTCAAATTCAAAACATGGGATAACAACATCAAATAGAAAAGAAGAAACCATATTCCATACATGTTATATACTATACCCACTCAAAGCATTTACATCAAACAAAAGAAAAAAAAATATGCACATACCAATACTCCTACCATGTTAACTTTCAACATATAAGGCTGCTTTTCCTTTTTATGCTTATTCCAAATTAGTCAGTTGAATGGTATGGAAGGGAGGAATATATTACCAGTTTAAGAGTTCCAACTCTTTAATTAAGCCCTAAATTGAATGGTTCTCCATTTAAAGAGAACACAATATAGGGATAGAGTTGATAATCTGGAAGAAAAAAGACGAAGACCAGAAGAATATGAGGCCGAACTAACAGAATGAAATAGATAAAGGAAAATGCTTACCTTTTTCTTCGAATGAAGGGTCAATTGACTTTCAATCTTCGGTGTTAGGGCTTAGCGATTGTAAGAGGAAGAAGAAAAACATAATCTCATAGACAATGGTTGTATGTGCTTGATTTTGCAAAGATAAGTTAAAGGAAAGAGTTAGGGGTTTCTTGTTGTAAGTGAGATCAGACATTCGAGTTTCAATGAGTTTTAGACTTTCAGTCAATCACACATTTGAGTAATCGATTTTTAGCAAATTCCAGGCTTTCAGCAGTTGAGCCAGTTTGGTTTCCGTGATGGGTTGATGGTGACCAGAATTAAGAAATCTCAACCTAAAATCAAAATTAGATAGAAGAAATCAGAAATTATAACATTAGAAGGATAGAAATCTGAGAAAAAAGTTAAAGTCATTTGAGATACCGATGTTAATCATTAGAAATATCAATCGAGAAGAGAATAGAGAGTCGCTTCCGTTTTTGGCGTTGAATTTTTGGTAGGGAAATCTGATGAGAAGCGATTGTTTGAGATATCGATGTTAACCTTCGCTTCATTTTTCCAACCTTCTACACATTATACAGGGCAATATGGTCATTTTCGCCCTATAAGCACAAAACCATTTGATTATGAGGAGAAGCGAAGAAAAGGTGAGGGATCAAGGGTTGAATCATTTCACCACCTATCGATCACCACCAAAAACCCTCACACATACTAGGTTGAGAGAAATCGAGAGAAGAGGAAGATTAAAATAAAATAAAACCCTAGCATGTTCAAGAGAGATAGGAGGTGGCGATGCCGTAGGGTTTGTAGAGAGAAGGGAGATCTAGAGGAAAAAGTGAAGAAGCCGGTGCTTCAAAATTTAAAATTTTAGAGGATTTCATTTTCCGCCTTTAAAAACGCACTTTTGATAAAAAAAATATAAAGCGACATTTTTAGAGGACACTCCTTTAAAACAAGTTTCCTCCGTGTTTGAATTTTTTTTGTTGGCCATTAATTTTAAGGCACACAAAAATGTGTGTCCTCTATCCTTCAAATTTTGGAGGGCTGACATTATTTTTAAGGTCACATGAAAATGCATATCGTAAATCAAAGAGTGTCATTGTTTGTGCATCATTAAAGGGTATGTTTCTTGTAGTGTGTTATAGAGAACTAATAATTCCCTTGCAACCACGACTATAACCTAGGTCATAAAAAGTATGAATTAGTAAAACCTAATAAAGGTATTATTATTAATTACCATACAGATAGACTACTTACGGGAAAAGTATCTAGAATGGAAATAATTGTCATTCGGATTGCATGATTTCAGAATGCTTATATGCCAAAATGGACCTACCCTCCAACTCTTCCTACATGTCTGACCCTTGTAATCATCGAGTATACAAACATAGGATTAATAAAATACAAAAATCAAACACTAGTCAAGTAAAGAGTTATATTACTTCTTATAAATGCACTCGGGTACCATAAAAACTATCCATTCAAATCACAACTCAAGATTGTAGGTCAAAAACTAATCCTAGGGTTAGTCTAGTACTATGGCTGTACAATAAATAGACTCAGAATGCCCAACTAAGTTTTATTATGGTTCGACTGACGCACGCCTGAACCTGGAGGCCGTAGTTGACAATCTAAACTCTTAATAATTTATGGATCAGTAGCGTAGTATGCCTAGTTAGAAGATTAGGACAAGGCCTACGATTAGAGGATCTTTTGATCAGTAGCATCGATCGATGACCTGAAGACTTGAGCCTTACATCAAGACCTAGTGCAAGAGGAACTTGAGCCTTAGATCAAGACTTAGTGCAAGAGGATCATACACCACGAGAATATCCGGAATAGAGCTGTGCATACGACATATCTCCCATATAGAAAGTTACCTAAGATACGATACTATCTACTATATATATGTATATATATATACACACACACACACACTATAAAAGAAATTATATGTATTATATATTATTTCTCATAAACACCTACCTGTTTGATGTCTTACTTAGGAATTGGAGACAATATGGAGGACATACGGGGCTGGTTGTTGCATCCATATCTAGAGGAAGATCAGGTGGTTCCATGAACACTATAGAATAAGAGTGATTATGATCCAGCGATCCCCCTACTACTTACTCTAGTGTCAACTGATGAGGAGCCATTCGAAGATGAGGAATAACCTAGTTAGGAGACGTGGCCAGGTGATGAGATTGATAGATTACGTGCATATATTTCACCCTATCCAAATTCGTCTTCCCACCAGGAGATTCAGGAGGAGGACCCTATTGACTCAGAGTTATCCCTAGATATTGTAGCGCCACCTTCCCCATCCCCTCAAAGTATTCATAACAATTACTCAAAATTATTACTAACCCCAAAAAACCCATTCATGTCCCATCCTACAAGAGGGCACCCTTGATGTGTTTTATACATAGCAAACAATCCTATGTGTGCATGCAACCCTAATTTGAGGATCTATGTTTTTCACTATTAGACATACAAGCATTGAACACAAAAAAAAAAACTAGAAAACCCTAGGAGGCACATGTAATTTTTGAAATTAACATATAATTAAGTTTAGGATACATACCTTGATTGTTATATTGTAATAACAACCAAATCCTTGAAGATCTTGAACTTTGGTAGCAAGCGCCACAAGTGTCGCGCCTCTAATGGCTCACAAACAAACCTAGCAACCAAAGATTACTATAGAGAAAGAAGGGAAGTGGAAAATTCGACTCTAAGCCTCTCTTGGACTGCCTTAGATGAGATCCAACCCTATAGAGGTTTATATAGGTGATAAGGGTGTTTTAGGATAAGGCAGGTGTATCTTAGATAACCCTAATCCCTTAACTTCCTCCCTAAGGCTTCTAAGGCACCCTTAGAGCCCAAGGAAACCCTAGGACACTCTAGATTTCATTCCCCACCTCTAAGGGAGGTTGTAGAATGCTTCAATGCTCAACTTGTGAACATTGTCACCTTTAGTCCCTGTAGTTTCAATTAATTCCTCTAATCCTAAAATTAATTCCAAATTAATTTATGATTAAATATTAATTAAACAATACGATTTCTAATCAATATACTATATATCCATAATACATTAATAAATCATTTATCTTGATTTCAAATTAATTTATTAACCAAGTAATAAGTTAATAAATCATTCTTCTCTCTGCAACAATTATCCTATTCGATTGCCAGGTTTGAAGGAAACCCAAAAAGACATTGTTACTATCTATTCAAGTACATACCAATTATAGTTATGGGCTTAGACACGTAATCCAACAGTATGCCCCTTGGATAAGTCTAATAACTATAGTTGCAAGTATAACTTCAAAAATTGACTAGCAAATTTTAGCTACCAAAAGCCGCTGTCGAACTCTGATCTTATCAGTGACGTGTCCTTTAGATAAGGGATCATATATTCCTCCATTTTATATATCGTATAGACACGAGACATGGATTTTGATCATTCTCTCAGTCTATGTTTTGTTTCCTGATTCCCGATTTATGAAAGTCATGACTGATTGAACAAATCAAATTAGTCCTGCTTTTGGCCAAGGACTTTAGGGTGTCATCACTAAATCATCGAGGGGCCCACATATATCGCATTTTTCCCACATTGGGTAAAAGGAATGGATAAACTTCGACTCATATGCTCGCTTTCACCTACTGATCGAATCACACACAACAATAAGTTTTATAACACCAAGTTACTAGTGCGTTTACTTATTATCAATGTGCAACTAACCAGCAAATAACAACTCACAGGTCTCGGTTTCAAGAATATACAATGTTATCATCTCACTAATCACTTGTGTTAAATTCCATGTAGTGATTCAAGTAAGTGTGGGTTTAATCCAATACTCTAATCTTATCGAAGAACTCATGAACTCTGTAGCAAACTTGTGCTATGCCTAAACACTTTAGATAATCTATAGACAGATTCATGACAGTCTTCTTTCATACCTACTTCCAATGTATGACCGACTGTGGAGGTTTGAATAACCCGGTTATTCTGGAAGTCAAAACATGCAAAGAGAAACACAATGATAATACTTAATCCTATATGACCCCAAACTTGTGAGTATAAATAAAACACCTCTATTTAATCACCATATTGATTACTCATTATTCACTGTTTAATGTTTTAGATAATCAACTTTATACTTGAATTATAACCACAATTGTCCCATGCTCCGA